GATGAAGTAAAGGCAGTGATATCCTGACTTTTCACATGATGAATTTGAAAATAACAGACAAAATCCTGCTAGGAAAGAAACTTCCTAACTTAAAAACTTCTAAGAAGTAAAGGAATACTTTTTCCTCTGAAAACATCATTAATTCATATATTTTTCTCCTTAGATGGAATTACAACTAGTCTAAAGACATGAGGGGTCAAATCATTTTCAGTGTGCTTTATATCTTTCCTGGAAGCAGGAAAGTTTTCTTTCATTAGGTAGAATTTGACTTAATACACTTCAGTGTTAAATCTATAGAGCTAAATCCTCAAAGGTCTTATAAATATTATGACTTGAAAAGGTGAAGGAACTGAGAATATTTAGTTTGGAAAAGAGAAGCTTCTCTGTCTCTCTCTACCTTTCTCTGTCTCTCCTCTCCCTCACCCCACCCCATCTCCGGGTCTCCATCTCTCTTTCCAGTTGTAGAATAATTAAAGGGCTGTTGTAATGTAAAGAATAGGTGTTAAATTCACTCCATGTTGTCCATAAACCACCATTTGGACCTATGGATGTAGGCTGTTTCTCCTCCAACAAACAATACCAGATCTCTCCAGAAATGGAATGAGTGGTGAGTGAGTTCTACGTCCCTGGAGGTGTTCAAGAAGACAGATACTTAGTAACTATTAAGGAAGACATTCATGGACCAGGTTGAACTTGATTACCTCTCCTGAAATTTCTCTTGGCTCCTTGGTGTTTTAGGCACATCAGCAAGTCTGTACCAGGCAGCCACAGTGGAAAGCCCAGATCTGTGGGTCTCCAAAGCTGAGGGTCACCGTGCTGGCTGCCCGAGCCATGTAACACTCTTAGAGCAGTTAGGTAGCTGTCATTGAGATACAAAGTGTAACTTATGGAAATGAGGTTATAAGACATTGTCGCAAAGTTGTGTTCTCCAAAGGTGGCTTTGGTTTTTGGAAATAGCTGAAAGTCTGGTCAGTAAAGATACCGTATGAGGATTAAGCAAATATCCAAGAGCAGAAGCAGGATTATGGAGGGATGACGGGGACTTTCTTGACATGCTCAGAAGCTCAATATAAAATATGAGAGGTTTCCCCAGAGTGGTACTTTGAAAATGTGTGTGGTCACAAAAGCACTGGGGGCTGGGGGGTGGGGGGTGGGGGCGGAAGCAGTGGTCATTTGAGTGTTTACATCCTGATGTGATTTTTCAAAGATCAGGCTCAGGCATGGCAGCTATGGTCCTCACTATGTTGAGGCAAGGGATGGACATTTTTATGTTATTTCTTATGATCGAGTGAGACTCTAAGACTGCTCGAGTCTCCAAGAGCACTGGAAGCTCTGATCCATGAGTCCTTCCCCGCAGGGCACATCACATTCCATGGGAGTCTTAGGAAGACCCAGCAGGAGCTGCTAAGCTGGGTATCCAGCTCCTTTGGCTGGATTGCTTTATCTGACCTGCTTTCATTTCTTCTCTCCCTTGTCAGCTCATTTATCTGCTGGGGTGGCAACATGGCACTTCTGGAGAGCTCTAGTATTTGGCATGTAGCCACAGCTGTATGGCTGCCGGAGCCAACCACCTCCAAACCCATGGAAACGGCTGCCTGCTCTGTGGGATGTGGGACACCAAGAATGTCATCTTCAGTCTCCTTTCACTGGATAGAGAACCTGCCTGCCCTTTAAGAATGACCTTCCTTAAAGTATAAATTCTTCCATGAGGGAGAGCCCACAATGTGTACAGATCCCAGCTTATATAATGAAGAAGGCTAGAGCTTTCCCTTGAAGCCAGCTTTGGTAAATGAAAAAGGAGATCCTTGGGGCAGATGACAGAGCTGCTGATGGGAGTACGGAAGGAGGGGAGGAAGAGAGAGGACAAGCCTCAGGTGACATCAGGGCTTTGATTAAAGGCAGTTCTGCAAATCTGTATTGACAAAGGCAGGCGCACCCAGAATAACTCATTCACTGGTGCAAGATCCTGGGCTTACACAGGAGCTCATGGGGTGTGTGAGCTGTCTTCAGTCTGCCTGTGTCTGGCATGGAAGGGAGTGTGCTGGCCTTTGTTCCTTTGCTCCACATCAATTTCCCTACTCCAAACTATCAGTCCCTGCTTGTTGCCCACATTTTCCATTCCAGCTCAGGGGCTTAGTGTGAAATTTCCACTCCCAGCTTTGGGATCGAGCCTGTGACCCAGGCTTGAGACCATCCCTCCATCACGATTCCCAGGCCACCGTGATTGGTTCATGTGGGGCAGTGCCAATGACCGTCAGTGACACTTTTGCTGGGAGCGCTGGGGTCAAGGTCAAGGTCGTTCCCATCAGATTTGATCCCGAGAGCATGTAACACTGGGATTCTTACAGCCAACTTGAAACTGCAAACTACCCAGGAACCTGAGATGGAAGCCAGTACAGTGCGGCTGGAGCAGACAGGTGGGAAGAACCAATAGAAAAGAGTCAGGCATCAGATGGGAGGTTGAACTGCTCACCTCTTTAGAATGTATGTGTTTCAAAGTCACTTCTTTTTTTTTTTTTTAAGATTTTATTTGTTTATTTGACAGAGAGAGATCACAAGTAGGCAGAGAGGCAGGCAGAGAGACAGAGAGGGGGAAGCAGGCTCCCCGCTGAGCAGAGAGCCTGATGCGGGACTTGATCCCAGGACCCTAAGATCATGACCCAAGCTGAAGGCAGAGGCTTAACCCACTGAGCCACCCAGGGGCCCTCAAAGTCACTTCTTAATGACTACAGCAGTGAGATCACTTGCGCTTTCAAACTCCCTCTGTAGGCGTCTCAAATACAAACACAATGATAAACAGAATGTGGCACAATGATTCTAATTCTGTGATCTTGGGGATGGACTCTGGTGCGCAGCATACTACCACTAACTCTGCACCATGAGCCTACCCTCGCTTTTCCCCTCTGCTCTGCCAGGGAGGGGGACTGACTGTGCCCTCCAAACCCCTTCCGACCTTCTGTACCTACACTCTTGCCCTCACCCAGGATCTCCTCCTTTAGTGTTTTCCTACTCTGCTTATAAGAACCAACTGTCCTCTACAAGGCTAGGTCCCTGACTGTCTCAGACCCAAGGAATGACTCTTAACTTTTGACCTCTGAGTGATCCAGTTTTCCGAAGCACTACTTTGGACTTGGTAATAATGCTTTGCATCGTTCCTTGGCATTTCTTCATGACTCTTCGGCTCCCGATCTTCTTGAGGAGGATAGGGATTATGATTCTTAGCACCTAGCACTCAGCATTGCACCAGCTGCACTTGGCTGATGTTTAATAACATGGACTCTTGTTAGTATCCTCTCCTGGAGCACGGCCACCTGCCAGTCTCAGTTCTGGGTCATCAGAGTTTACTGGGTTGACTAGGGCATCTCCTACACCATTTTGCCAACCGATGGGATTCCAGTTGTATCCAGGACGTTGCAGGGCCCAAGACACAGAGGAGACAGGACCTCACCTCCTTCCTCCAAGTTCTTCTCACTCCCCCCATACCCGGCACCTCAGATGAGGCGTATAGTGCATTCATTCATTTATTCATCGAAGACTCACGAAGAACAGTGTGCCAGACCTTGGGTATACAGTGATGGGCAAATCAGATGCAGTTCCTGCCTGCCGTCTTGATATGAAGTCCCCTCCACACAGAACTAGGATTGCTTTTCCTCTGCCTGCTTCTCTGTCCCTAGACCCTGAGATGTCTGGGCTTAGGTACTTGCTTGGGTCTGTCATCCCCTTGGAAGTAGGGTCTGTCTGTCCTTTGCTCATGCAAGAACCCTCCTTGGAAGGTCTCTCTCCCTACCTACTCCCTCTTTTGTCCAAGACTGAGATACGGCTCCTCATTCTCAGGGACTACCCTCTAATCCATTTCTCCTGCTCACAAATTCCTGGCTAGGTCTCTCCTAAAACCCATGAAATCTGGTCTCCCCAGGGACAAATTAATGGTTAGTTTGAACTTTGCATCTTGAGTGTCCATTTGGTTTAAATTAGTAAACCTAAGGAAATACACATAATCATGACAGGTGATGGGAAAATAAAGCCAAATTCCCTCTGGGCTCTGGCTTGAGGCAGTGACCCCCAGGCCACCAGCCAGGGGTGATGGTCTGGCCTTTGACTATGAACCCCCCAAGGATGGCGCTCCAGGTCTAACCTGCAGCTTCAGCTGCCTCAGGTGCTCAGGACTGAACGCTGTGTCAGCGACCAGCGACCCTGATGGCCTGTTGTGGGCAGGGGCTGTGCCAGTCTCTTTTTTTGATTTTCACAGCGCAGCAGCCCAAAAATGCTGAGAGTGGGGGTCGGAAGAACTCGTCCCAGGGGCTGCCTGGTGCTGGTGGCTTGGCGTGGAGCCAGGTTCACCTTTGTCCCCAATCCGTGTGCCAGGGCGTGGAGCCTGGCTGGCAGTTCTGAGGGCAAAACGAAGCTGCGAGTCTTCTCAGGGGAACTTCCTAGGGAAGGGGGGGAAAAAGAATTTCAGGTCGGAAAGGAGTAGGGAGAGCAAAAAGCGGGAGGGAGGGAGCTCTGTTCAGCAGGGTGCCGGGGCTTCCTGGGCCGGAGTCTCCCCGCGCGCCTCTGCCATCTGCCCACGTGCGGGCGGTAGCCGGGAGCCTGGGGCCGGAGAGCGGGAGTCGGAAGCCGAGCCTGGAGCCGCAGAGCCGCCGCAGGCGGGGACCCAGGGAGCGCGCTGCCCCGGGAGCCGAGCGCAGGGGCCGCCCACTGGCGGAGGAGCCGGGGAGCGCGCAGGGGAGGCGGCGGGGCTTCCCCGGGCTTCCCCTCCCATCCCCGGGCCGCGGGCGCACGGCTCGGACCAGGGCGCGGAGGCGGCGCTCCGCGCCAGGGCGCGGGGAGTCCCCAGGGCGCCCCCAGCTCGGCGCCGGGCCGCGGGGCGGGGAACGGCGGACGCGGCGTCCGCGAGCCCCGGGGCCCGCGGAGGCTGGTGGTTTGGGCTGAGCCCTCCCCAGCGCCCGCCCGCCCCCGCCTGGCGCCCGCCTCCCGCCCCCGCCCACGGCCTGGAGCGCGCCTCCCTCGCCGCCCGGGGTCTGGCGAGCCCGCGCCGGTCGAGCTGCGAGAGCCGCCGAGAGCACCGCCGCCGCCGCCGCAGCCCCGGGAGCTGCTCCGGCCGCACCATGCGGGAGCTGGCCATCGAGATCGGGGTCCGAGCCCTGCTCTTTGGGGTCTTCGTGTAAGTAGTGGCGCGCCGCGGGCGGGAGCGCGCGGGCGCGGGGACCCACGGACCGAGCATCTCTGCGCCCCAACTTTGTTTGCGCCACCGCGTCCCCTCGGGGCCTGGATTCGAGGGATCCTCCCCGCCCAGTGCCGGGGATGTGTTCTACGGGACCCTCATGATCCCCTTTCTGGGATCCGGGCCGCGGAGGGACCCGCGTAAGCCAGACTAAGACACGCTCCCGCCACCCCCACCGCGCCAGGGAGCGGGACGGGCCGCCGCTAGGTCTCCTCGCCGGCGCCTGTCGCGGGCTGCTCACCAGCTGCCCGGGGAATCAGGCTGCTCCCCTGGAAGCAGGCGCGCAATCCCGCTCGCGCCCTCGGGAAGTTTCTCCTTGGGTGCGATCTTCGGAGCCCGACGTTTGCAGTCCTTCCTCCTGGCTCTTCTAATATAGCCCCTCGCCGTGCCCGGGGCTGGGCGCCGTCTCCTAACCTGTGCCTGGCTTTGGTGCCCCAGGGTTCAGGTGAGCGTTTTCCAAAGAGACGTTTGCGGTAGTTCTCCGGCTGGAAAACTTGCTGCGGGGGCTCCGGAAGTCGGGGGCCGCAGCCCGAGCTACGGGCTCCCTACGCCCTGAGCTCAGTGCGGAGCCCTTGTCCGTTTAGGGTGCGGGCGGGGGCTCATGGGGACAGCAGCGAAATGCCCCTCCTGTCTCCGAGCGGCTGGTACCTGGAAATAGCGATCTTGGAAAGAGGAGGTGGCCCTGGCACAGACTCTTTCAGAGATGTCTGAACCCCAGGGCGCCCCAGGGACACGCTACCCACTGGCCTCCCGGGCCCAAGTGGCTGGGAGCGGTCGTGTCTCTGCCTTTCAGCTGCAAACCCTGAACACGCCTCAGCTCAGACCCACTCCACAGTCCCTTTGATCTCTTGTGACAGAGGTTCTCTTTTCCCATCTGCCCATGGTTGTTTTCTGACAACGCTGTAAATATTAAAGTTGCATGAACTTTCTGGACTCGCTGTCTTCTTTTGAAAAGCCCAGGCAGCGGTTCCAAACAGGAGGCCCCTCTCTGGATTCCTGCCCCAGTCTGGAGTCACTGATGGCAGGTGGGAGGCTGTGAGTTGACTTCTGTTCCTGCAGCCCAGGGTATACACATGGAAAGAAAGACCCTTTCTTGCATGTTTTTCTTTCCTAGGGGTCAAATTCATCCAGAGTATTTATTCACAGCATCATAAAGGATGGTGAGTTCCCTCAGATGCAGACAGGCCCCCTCTCCCAGCTTCTGACCAAACACTGCTGTTATTCAGTGCGAAAAAGGAATGAGAATTTCAGTTGGGTATTGATGCAGTTTGGAAAACAACAACAAAATAAAACAAAAAACACTTTTCCCTTCTCCTTCTCGATTTTTCTACCTTTGGAATAGACGTTAAAACTAGTGATAGCGTGTGATCAGATGGGGACAGTTTCCAGTTGGCAGCTAGGCTAAATCCCATTAAATTATTATGTGATGGAAATGATAAGTGTTCTGTACACGGTAGGATTTAGCATTTATTTGGGGAGTGTGTGTGTGAGTGATGCTGAAATAAAGTGAGGTGGGCTTGTAGGTTGCCTGGTTTGATTGTTGCTGGGAATTGTCAGATTAAAAAAAAGACCTGACGGTGTGCAAATATTTATATTGTTTACAGATTTCTCTTCACATATTCCCCAAAACATTCATGAGCTGTTTACAAATAGATGATGGTCTGTGCCGTGGATTTGAAGATGTGATAATTATTGTTTTATGTGCTTTTTGCTTCCTCAAAGAATGTTATGTAAAAATCAGACAGGCGGTTTATGTTTTTTCCAAACTTCCCCTTTTATTAATTAATGGGGCATCTGCTCTCACCCAAAGGGAAACACCTGGGCATTGATGGTGTTTTTGGATGATTTCCTGATTTCATATCAATTGGACATATTAACAGTGTGTCCAACGTGTGGCTCTTTGACCTGCAACGACCAGCTTTGGTGTCAGTGGGAGACTCCCTGGGTGGGTGGGAATCTTGGATGTTTAGAGGCTGTTATCATCAAGTAGAAAGCCACTGTCGGAAGGACAGACTGGACGCTCACAGATACAGATGACCCTTTGTTTTCTTAGATAAGTTCTGGTGAGATGACAGAGGCTGACTTTTGGAGGAAGTTTTATTGTTCCTTTTGCCAGTGCTGGTCTGATGGCAAGATTCCGAGGTTTGTACCCAACTCTGCTCGTGAAGGTGGTGATCTCAGTAGCAGGCCCTCACCTGAGTAGGTAAGAAATTTCTGGGCAAGCTGCATCTACTTTCGCTGCTGCTGAGAAATTCATTATCTGCTGCTCCTGCTTGGCGTAGGTCCCCTATTTCTCAGGATAAGAGAATCATCTTTTTGGGGGGAAGATACCTTGCTTCTCTGCCAACTCATGCCTCTGGGGGAATATCACCTGTGCACACACTTGTTCTTGGATTATATTTGCTCTGAGTAAGAGCAGGATCCCACCAGGTGATGCCCACCTGCTCCTAGGAGTTCTAAGTTAGCTCTAATGGAATGCAGCTTTGGACCCTTGGGTTGTAGGTTATATGTTATATGGCTATATGCTTTTTCTTTTTCCTTAGGGAACCAGTTCTCTGGCTCTAGACCAGGTTTAGTGCTGAGGTTTGGTGATTCAGGGTCCCAAGAGAATGCTCTCCAGGAAACCCCCATAGATCATCCAAGAGGTGCGCACTGCCTTTTGGGCAGCCCTGCCTAAGAAATTCATGCCACTGGAAGAAAACTAGGAACGGGTAATGCAAAGCAGGGCTGGCACATAAAGCTTAACCTAACAGGAAATAAATTGGTTAGAGGACCCCAGTGTTTAGGAAAAATCAAAGTATAACACGTAGCTTTGAGGCTGCATTTAGTGTTCGGAAGCTGGTGTGGAGGACCCTTTGCTCTTTCTTGTGGACCGTGGGCGGGGCAGAGAGCAGGAGCTCCAGTGGGCTGCGTCTGTCCTGCTGCCACCCAAGACTCCAGCAGAGATCCTGGGAGCTTTGGTGGACATGTGAAGCCGGCCTGGGACCTTGCTGAGCCAGCACGGTGTGGATCTGAGGGGGTCAGCCAGCAGCCCCGCAGGCAGGTGCCCTAGGACTGGAGTATATTACCTCCCCCCACTGCCCTCGTTGGCACGTAAGTGCTGTTTATTGAAGACTTAGTATGTGCCAGGCGGTCATGAAGCCAGTCACACGTACCACCGAAGCCTTGTACATGCCCGATGGGAGGGTACATTGGCAGCTGTGCTCGTGCATGCAGAGGTCAAAGCGCAGACTGAGGAACCGCCCCAGTCACAGAGCTAAGAAGGGCAGCTCTGAGATCTAAATCGAGGTGCTCCTTCTAGTCATCGGGACACTCCGTCACCTCACTGTACTGCTCCGGAAAGAATAACTGCCCGTGAGGGGCACTTGGGTTTACTGTGCAAAAGGCGTTCTGTGGGATGTCTCCGGTCTCGTCGCGCTTGAGATGTTCTCCCCACTTTACAGGTAAACCAACGTTTACAAAGGGTAGGTAGCTTGTCTGAAGAGACTCAGTGGCAGGAGGTGTAGTCTGGGTCTGAACAGGCGGTCGGCCCCGTGTCCCCGGGCTGCCGGCCACTGTTACGGAATGGGTCCAGCACCAGGCTTCCAGGACTAGAGCAAAGGTGACCGCATTCTAGAAGCCATCTCCTTCTATGACCCATTGTCTCCGGGGAAGCAAATGAATGGCTTGGAATGATGTGTGGAAAGAGCTGTCACTCTGGTTCTCACATTGGAGTCTCAGGGCGACATTTCAAAGGGGGGTGGTGGTGGTGAAGGTTCCCGTTCCCTAAGAGATGGAATTAGGACACGTTACAGATTTTGAAGGGTCTTCCTTAGGTCTCTGGATCCCAGAGGGTGAGATGTGGAGAGAAAATTGCAAGTCAGAACCTAAATGGTAGGATTTAGAACCAGGAGTAGGCCAGTAGGCTTGTGTACCTGTTGGCCTTTGTCTCCAGTACATCAGTCTGTCCGGAAAACCCTTTGTTTCTAGCGCTGCAGAATGGGCTCTGGAAACATGAGAAATGCTTCGTCAGAAATGCTGACGGAGGGGGAAGGTGGTCGACCTCTTTCACCCGTGAATCTGTGTTCCTTGTAGTCCTCAGTCCCGCCCTCTTCCTCTCTCTCCCCTTTGGGGCTCTGGGTGGCCCCCTGGCTGGGATGTCCCTCTTGGAGCTTTGGGGCTGCTTGGGACACTGGCTTGCTCAGGGAATGAATGGCGTTTGCCTCAACTCAGATCAGTCCTGCATCCCCTTCTTGGAGCCCTTTGTGGGCTGGGGGCCTGTGCCGGGTGCTGGGGATATTTGAAGAAGGAAGCCTGGGGGCGGGGGGCCTCCCCAGAGCTCACAGGTTGGTCGGGTGAGCACAGAGTAGGCTGCTGTTTGCTATTTTTCCCGGTATAATCACTGGCTTTGAAAATTTTGCCTTCATTTTTCTGGGGGCGGGCACTTGTGCTGGTTATTTTCTTCCCCTTCGTTGGTACACTTCTGTTGGTAGGATTCGAACAGACCTGGGGAAACCTGGCACTTCCGCTGGTCCAGGCGGTTTGTTTGAGGGCACTGGCTGTCAGGTAGGTTTTTGGAGTATTGGCAGAAGGGAACACACTTTCATTATTACCCCTCAGAGTCCCGTCTGGGGCTGTAGGCCGGGGACGGTTGTGGTAGTAGGACAAAGTGCTCAGTTTATTGAGAGGGAGGGAGTAATGAGTCCCGGGAGGGAGAGAAGGAGGAGGCAGGGGCCAGGGAAGGCTGCCCAGAGCTGGCATCCCACCTGAGTCTTGAGCATCAAGTGGCAGGTGTGGAGGGCCTTGCCCGAGGACATCTCTGCAGACTGTGTGTCCGGGAGCCAAAGCTGCAGGGTTTAGGGGCGTATTTTGGGTGGGGATCAGGTCACTAGGTGTGGCCTCAGCACAGAATGTGGGTTTGGAGGTGGTTGGTAAGAGTGGCAGGAGGAATTTAATTCAAT